CCCACCACGGGAATTGAGATTTCAAGAATATTCTTTCTCGTGGACAGGGATGGAGGCATTTTTTCTCCCATGAGATATTGTGGGAAATTTCCTCCACCCAATTGGGATCTATATAAAATAAAAAATATATAAATTTATTTATATATTTTTTTGTAAATATATTAATAATTAATTTTTACTTACCCAACTTAATTAGCTAACCCAATACTAATGCAACCTAAATTTCACAACACATTCTTTTTTCAATTTTCCCAAACCCAATAGTCAAGTCCAATCTATTCTTTTTGTCAATCTAGTCTTTCTAAACCTAATTGCCTAGCTCAATTTCCATTGGTAACCCTAGAAAGACCATCCAAAGATTTCAATTTCAAATTTGTGATTCCTTCTCTCCAATCTCCTCTGTGGCTCTGCATTGTAACTTTGTTTCTGCTTCTCAATCCTCATTTGTGATTCCTTTCAAGCTCTCACCGTCACTACCCATTGTGCAACAACTGCAACACTAATCTTCTTTCATCTCTCACTCACACTCGACTCAATAACTCTTCTCCAATCTCTCAACCAGCCATCGATAACTCATCTCTTTTATGCCTTTTTTCTTAATGAACTTATTGCTGGACATGTATGGTAGCAGTTTATGCATTTTTTTTTTTATGAACCTTTTATTGGATTTGTTGGACTTATATGGTAGTTTATGCCTTTTTTCTTTATGAACTTGTTGCTGACTTGTTGGACCTGCTTGACATGTATATAGTGGTTGTATATATTTACTACTTGTTTGTCTTGTTTCAAATTTTTACTTTATATGATTATTTGAGTTAGTTTTATTTGATGAATGTGGAAATTAATGGTGGAGTCTAAGCAGACGCATGTTGACCTTAATTTTGATTAACAAGTAGTGGAGTAAGTGATTGTTTTATTTGGCGGGGACTTTGAATACTTGCGAAGACCTATGATTCCTCGCGCGTATGGGGATGGAGGCTATTTTTGAACTTCTACCAAAAATCCTGTGAGAATCCCCATACTTACCATTGGCGGGGATGGGGATGGGGTCCTCACTCTCGTGGGAACCCGTTACCATCCTTATTAGGTTGTCAAAATTGGGTAGGAAAAGAAGGCTTGGAATAATGATACTTATTAGGGGTGAGAATGGGTAGGTATGGATCAGGTATTTGTCCATACCTATACCTGACTTGAACAGTCACAGATACAAGATTTTAATATTCACTACTTATTTGAGTATTGAAAATTTATACCTGTTACTCAACTTGTTGGGTAGAAGTATATTCATAGGTATACCTGTTAAATTTTACACTAAAAATACATAAAGTAATGTACAAATACAAGTTTATATAAAACAAAATATGTGAGTATGTACACTCACATATACACAAGTTTATATATATAATAACAAAAAAAAAATACAAACAAAAATCTACATGACTTTCTTTCAGTTAAATCTTCATAAAAAAACATAAACATTTTAATTTCATAATATTATATTACAAATTAACCATATAAAACTAGTATATAGGTTAAAAATATGATCAGGTATACAAATTAAGTATATGAATTAGATATAGAAATATGTAGGTATTGATCCCATACCCAAAACTTACTTGATATTTAACTTTCTTTTCATAAGTATAGGTAAAATACTTACCCAAATAATCAGGTACTCACAGATATCAGGTATACTTGTACGGTTGTACCCTCGGCCCTAATACTTACACGGCACTTCGGCGCCGCTTTGCAGAGTGGACTGGACTCGTCGTCAAGGGCCCTAAGAAATCATTGGAGCCCAATATTACAATGTACCCTTGCTTTTAAAACCCTCACGTGAAGAAGAGAAGAAACCCTAGAAGCCAGAATTGTGAGCGGCGCGGCGGAACCAAGGCTCCATCAATCTCAGCTCTCTGAGGTACCCAATGCTTTTCTTTCTCAGCCATTCCAGTTCCGTTTGTTTCCATCGATAGTGGGTTCTTGTCAATTTCTGCAATTCTTGATGATTGTTACTCGTTTATTGTTTCATTGTAATTTCCTTTATTTTGTTATAATATAGTTGCCAAGATGTCGATCGGAGAAATTGCTTGCAGTTACGCTGTTATGATCCTCTATGATGATGGCATCCCCATCACTGTATCCTTTCTTTGGAAATTAAGTTAACTTTTGTGTAACTTATATAAATCCGCTTACTTTCTGGGTTTTGGATTTAGAATTTGTTAATTTCCGATAGTCTTATGCAATATTTGATGATTTAGTATATGGAAATCAGTTTCAAGTGGAAGTTTTGTTCTTTTTCGAACTCTGATGCAAAAGACTAGTATTTAGGAATTTGGGTGTTTCCTTTTTTTCCTTTGACTACTGTGAATAGTCTGAGAAGATTGCAACATTGGTTAAAGCTGCACATGTGAAAGTTGAATCTTATTGGCCAATCTTGTTTGCTAAGTTGGCTGAGAAGCGTAATATTGAGGATCTCGTGTTGAATGTTGGAGCTGGTGGTGGTGCTGCTGCTCCAGTTGCTGCCGCTGCACCTGCTGCAGGTGGTGGGGGGCCTGCACCTGCCGCCGCTGCTCCTGCTGCTGAAGAGAAGAAGAAGGTAGATTTAGTAAAACATGAGCTTTTAAGAGAGATCTTTTTTCCTCATTATTTATTCTTATGTGTGATTATGGGTGATTTTGCAGGAGGAGCCACAAGAGGAGAGTGATGATGACATGGGATTCAGCTTGTTTGATTAAGTGCTCCTTCCAGTGTGATTTAGTCTTACGCTGCTTGTGTTAAGAATGGTTTTTGTGGGTATGGTACCGACTTTGTAATGTATTATTTGAAACACTCATTATGTAGTTGATTTTGAGAATGTTTGCCTTCCACATATAAATATTAATCTTATTCAACAATTTTTAGTTCATTTGTCGGTTAGATTTAAATGATGCTTATGTTTTCTATTATTTTGCTGTCATTGTTGAAATTGTTATCATTAATTATTGGTAATGACATTCTCCAATATAAATGGGAGCAAATGAAGTTCTTGCTTGTTTATCAATGGTAATGGTAGCACCTAAGTTTATTTATCCAATCGGTTCCTCAGAGCTTGTCTTGTGCCTTTGAACAAATTGTTTCTCTTCTGGATGATAATTGTCATCTTGTTTGACCAAGAATCGCAAAAAGGAAGTGAAAAACATCACTGATCTTGTCAATGTTCTTGGATCCAATTGACTGGGTTCCTTTCAGCTTTTGGGAGAGAACACAGTCATTCACTTAACAGCCCTGTTAGTGTTACTGCGTATACCTTGTTTATATATCTGATCATTGTTAATCTTACCATTGTAAAAGTTTCCTAGAACTCTAGTTATGTGGTATGGTGAATTGATTTGAAACCGCGAACCAGCTTCTAGTTTAAATCAATGCAAACCCTGTCTGTATTCTTTTGACAGAATTCACAAATCGTTTATTGGATTTGCTAGGATGGTCTGGGTGAATAATGTTTAAATTGCATTGCATGATCTGAGTGTCAAAAGCCCTTGCAATTATTAGAACCATGATCTATTAGCTCCAAGAACTAGTCAAATTTACAATTATTTGGTGAATGAGTCCATTCCATTGCATGCTCGACGAACGAACCCATTTTTGTTCTTTTTGCCTAATCGAAGAGGGCTGCACCTCTGATACAGACTACTTACGAAAAAAAGCTAAAGAAAACCTAGTGCGGTGCCAAGCTGTTCGTCTCATAAAATGTGGGTGCATTTCTTTTAGCAAAATGAAAACCTTGTCTGTTCTCGTACGAGCATGTTATGTTGTCAAGAGGATGTTGGAACCAGCATGTTTTCCTTATTGTTATTATCAAAATAATGCATAGCTTTGATATGCTTTCTCCAGCTTAAAGACAAATGCCCTCCAATTGTACCGAGCTTCTACTGCCTCATGGGTTTGCTACGTTTTCCTTTGCAAGAGGCGCAATCTCCTCGCCATCAATACCGGGATTACTTTCAGCTACCCCTAGGCTTAACAGCATCTCCTCCCATTTCTTAGCAGGTCCCTGTGTCATTAGCTGAGTTAGACTTTGCCAAAAGCAAGATCAATGGTTTTTTCTTTTCTTTTTCCTTTTTTTTTCATCAAGTCATGGTGCATTACATTAGGATACTAGCAAAAGTTCTAAGAATTACTGACCTTCCATGAAAGATCTTGAGTCATGCAATTCTCGATTATTTCTGCCAGAGCTGGTGTACCATAGCTCTTTAAGGCCCTTCTGATGGTTGAAGCCACTGCTGTCACGTCTGCAAGATCAACGGCATCACACTGAAAGAACCAACAGTTAGATTTCAAGTTTATCTAACAAACATGTACAGAAAGAGTCTGAAAGAATAATCACCTCGACATTGAAGGCTCCCATCTGAAACCCTGTGAAACCCTCTCTAACAGTGTCAACCAACCCACCAGTTGATGCAACAATAGGCACCTACAGAGAAATAGAGGTAACGACATGAAAACAAACTTTACCCTTATTTTCTTTGCAAATCATTCAAGAAAAGCTCATAAATTGGAGAACGTTAGGGTAGAATAGAAACCATACAGTTCCATAACGCATAGCATGGAGTTGAATGAGACCACAGGGCTCAAATCTGCTTGGAAGCAAAATAAAATCTGCTCCTGCTATGATCATATGGGCTAAGGGAACATTAAATTTTGCTACACCTCTGGCCTTGTCAGGGTATAATATCTCCAGCTGTTGAATCTGCTCTTCCATTGGCTTCTTGCCAGTTCCCTGAGAAGTTCACCAAGTATTTCACGGTAAGTTATTCATCTGTGTCTCTAAGGAAGAACCAGGAGACAAATGCAGTTTCCTAATTTGGCACTTACAAGGACTATAATCTGAACCTTCTCCCTAATAAATTGAGGAATGGCTTCTACAAGAATGTCTGAACCTTTCTGCTCTTCAAGTCTGCCGATGAACCCTATAATAGGGATGTCTCTATCCACTGGCAACCCTACTTCAGCTTGGAGAGCCTCCTTCAGAAGAGGCTTTGCAATCATCACCTGAATGTCATTGATTTTCAGTACTTCTGAGGCAAATATCAAGTTCATACAATGTTAATGGAAAAATTAGAGGTGAATCTGGTAGGCTCTTACAGTTGAAGCGTTATATTTGATACTAATGTATTTGTCAGTGGATGGGTTCCATTCCTGGACATCCATACCATTAACAATTCCAGTGATACCGGTCTTACGAATGATGTTATCCAATTCCACTCCTTTTTCTACGCCGGAAACAAGTTCTTCAGCATAATATGGGCTAACAGTTAAGACCTTGTCAGACTCTAATATGCCAGCTTTCATCCAATTGATTTTCCTTCCCTTCACAGGTTTTTCATACCTGCAGAGTAGGATTAGGGAGTGACACTCTTCTGTTTAACTAGGAGGAATCTACTATATGAAGTTACAGAAACCCATACCCATCTATAAAATCAAATGAGCTCCTGAATGCATCTGGAAGATTGAGAAGCGAGAAGTCGCCGAATGAAAATCTACCTTGATATGCTATGTTGTGGATGCAATAAGCAACCTGGACTTATGATTAAGGACAATGTTTATTCTCAACTGCCAGAGAATGAATTCTAAGACAACAACATGAAGGAGAGGCACCTTACCTTGGCAGTTTCATACATTCCCTTCGATTTGTACATGGATTTCAGGTAGCAGGGAAGAAGGGCAGTATGCCAGTCATTGGCAATGAACACTACATCTTCACCTGCACTCAATAACTCAATAATCAGAATACCAATGCATTATTTATGTAGTTCAGCAGAACTAGTTTGAAGAATTATGTAAATATATCCTTAATTACCATAGGGTCCAGAGAAATATTCACAGCTGTTAAGATTTAGAATTCTCGGCGCTTCTAGAGCTGCCTAAAAAGCCACAAAATTGCAAAGTCAAGAACAAATGCCAAGTAGTAACTAGTAACAAAGCAGCATACAGATTGAACTAGCATTTCTGCAGAGTAGTCCAGGAGAATAGAATAACATACAACCAGGGAATGGTTATCAACCTGGCATAACATGCTGAATCGAAGTTGGTTGTCTTCGTAGTCTGTTCCAGTGGTAGGTCCATAGATTTTGGATCCAGTTTTCCCCCACACCTGAAATTTATTCTTACCAATTCCAACATCAAACTGACTTTATGAGGCAAAATGCGAAGATCATGATTCTGGGTGACCAACCTTTTCAAGAAACATGGGGTGGTCAATGAACACACGATCAACACCTCGCTTGTAGCAGTGGAAGAAGCGAACTTTCTCAGTTATATATCCAACTTTAACCTATGTATCAAAGGAAATGTAGTTATCTAAAGAAAGAAATCAAAACCTTTGAACATAACAGTGTGTTATCGGTGTTCCAAGAAAAAACACTTGTATTACCTCAATAGCAACACCTGTATCCCAGGCATCCTTGTACTGATCATAGCGTGGAGCCACAGTCATGACACGATGTCCATTGGCCTAGAGAAAGGATTATTTTCAGGTATTATTCTCTTTAAAGCTAAAATTAACAAATAATTTAACACTTCTGAAGAGGGAAAGGTTAATTAAATTTCTCACCGCCATTGCAGGTGGCAGACCACCAAGAACATCTCCAAGTCCACCGGTCTTGCTCCAAGGACCAACTTCTGCTCCAACAAAAACCATGTTCATCCCACTTCTGCAATCCATAACCACACCCGGCATAGCCTTCTGTTTCTTGACGTGTTTCTTCCTTAATTGTTGAGTGGTGGTTCTGCTTTGCAACTTATCCACAATGTTCAAGCATCTTAATCCAGCATGAGTCACCGTCCGATTCAAGAACCCAATTTTCTTTGGTGTTGCTTTAGGTTCAGACCCAGATGCCACTGCAAAGCTGGAAGCTGCTGCCATAGTTGCCATTTTGATAATCTGTCCAATACAAAAATCAGAGCCAGAAAACCATGAATCCGAAGGGAAAGTTATGCTCTCAAATAACCTGTGCATGCTAGTGCAATAAACGTCAACAGAAAATATCTGTGCTTGAAAAAAGGGATGGAGATACAGCCCCGTTAGAATAGATCCAACCGGTTTCTTATTTGTTGCTGAATTCAACAAAAAGTTGAAAACTTTACTCAAAACAGTTAAAACCCATCTGAATTATGACTGATTCTGACTTCTAAACAATTGATTTGATTGAACAATATTAAAAAAAAAAATCCGAAATATTAAATTTCCATTATTGTCTCAAGAAAATTGGAATATTGTAACTCTCATCATTCTTATGCTACCAGGCTAAAGTCATGGAGGGTGGGATTGGGGTTTTGTAGAAGGCTGTTGGTAGTGAAGAGTCCAATTCAAGTATTCATGATGATAACGAGGTATTCTCATCCAAATGGGGCTGGCTTGGAACTCAGAAGTTTTGGCGGGAAACCAGTGGGTGATTCTCAATGTGTTTTTGCTGATATTACTATTAGTATCAACAGACAAACACTACAACAAACTTAGCTTTTATGTCTGGTTAAGTTCGGTGGTTTTCCTTCTCAAGCCAATCCTCCAACGTTCTTCTCAAGCTATTATTTCCACGCCACCCCTCATGTTCTTCTCCTCGTTTTCTCCGCTCCCACTTTCCTCTTCTTCCTCTCATTTAATACTCCCAACCCAACCTCCTTCTTTACCGGGCAATCTCATTTTCCCTTAGTTCAGGGTTAGGGAGAAATCATGGCTATGGCTTTCTCTGCTGCCAAGTGCAGCATCCAGTCTTTCCCTCTCAGCATCACCTCCGCCAGATCTCACGAAAAGCCTCTCTTTGATTCTCTCAAGACCCCCGCTTGTTCTTTTCTCGGATCCACTCGAAAACTTCGCTTCACTTCTGCTTCCAAATTGAATCAGATCAACCCGCACTACCGTCACTACTAAAATTCAAGCCTTCAGCAACATGTTTTTATGTTGCTGAAAGTGCCTCCCATGTTGCTGAAAGTCCTTCAGTAACATAGTTTTTATTGGTAAAAGCCTTGTTGGAGAAGCCTTGTTGGTGATGTATCAGCCAACAAGCAAATTGTTGCTAATACATCAGCAACATAATGCACGTTGCTGAAAATATATTTTCAGCAACGTGCTCCATATTGGTGAAATTGTTCACGGGAATCTAGCAAGAGGTATCGATAAGTGGTAAAGAGTTTTCAGTAATTTAAGGCACGTTGCTGAAAAAATGCTTTCAGCAACATGGCTTATGTCGGTAAAAATCAATGGTAAACCGACACTCAGAAGATGAGCATAAATTTAACCTCATTTTCAGTAACATAGGCCATGTTGTTGAAAGCATATTTTCAACAATATGACTTATGTTACTAAAAGTTAAGGGGAGTGCATATACCTCACTTTTCAATAACAAAAACTATATTGCTGATAGTGCATTATCAGCAACATAATTTTTGTTGCTAATTCTTATTGTTAATAGTGAGGTGAATAATAAATTAATTTTATAATATTATTATTACATTAATTAAATTTGAAATTCACTTTTTTTTATAATTACTAAATATTAAATTTTTTGATATCGCACATATAATATAAATATTTATTATTTTTATATT